TGAAAAATTCTTGGAAAACAGCTGATTCTTTTGTTACTTGTAGGCTTATACAATGAAACCAACTTTGATATAGAGGTGGAAATCATAAAGGAACAAATTTCCTATTTATGATAGTCAAACCTTTTATCATCGGAGATTTTTTTGTTTCGAGTGATGTGAAAAATATATCGCAATACACTAATTGGTTGTAGGTAAAAATCTGCACTAATTTTATTTCAGCGTAACTCRTAATATACTATTAACAAGTAGGTAAGCTATTCCGTGAAGTATAATTATATTATTTTAAAAACGCAAAATTTAATTAACTAAAAAATACGGGTCATTGTCAGCAACCCCTCTTCGTTTTGTAAGGATACTTGAGCAAGCACGTTGTTCACCGTTAGTAACAATTTCCTTAAGGCACCTCTGGATGCGACGTGTCAGCTTCAAATTTTGAGCTTTCCAACCATTTTTATACACTATAGCTTTGACTTCTCCAAAAAAATCCACAATCGGTCGGCATTGTGGTAAGTTTGTCGGATTCGTTTCTTTAGGTAGTAGATGTTTATGTTGACCAAGAACTTCAATGTCACAATGCGAAGAGGCGTTGTCGGCCAAAATACGATTTCATCGTTTTTTGTGATGTTTTTGTATGAAAGGAACCATGGACCAAAATTTTGTACTCAAATTCTTTTTTTAAATTTGTACTTTATATGGGAAGGCGTAATGGACATATCGTCTGTGAAATAAACATCGTTGCTCAGCATTTGCTTCCCACTTAGTGAAAAGTAGATTTCGTCATCTAAAATTAATAATTTTCATCTCCAATTCTTGCCCATCCCCGACATTGTGATTTAACCTGACTTATCTGCTCTTCGGTGTACTCTGGACAACGCTGCTTTTATTTTGGTTTTAAAATTAATTCTATTAAACATTTTGCAGATAAATGGCTGTGAGCAATCCTTACTGTTGAACGCTGTTAGCTGTTTAGCTTCCGAACTTTTTAGGACGTCATAGTAGTCGGCTTTCTTCCAGAACCTTTCTATTTTTAGAGTACTTAGTATTGAGTATATTGTTCTGCTGAAGACGCCTTCCGCCATAAAATGCAGACCCGTAAACTTTTTTCCGGCGGTTTCATATCTGTATATATAAAAATCAATGTCACTTTCTTTGTAATTTCATCACTCATAAACGGCTGAACCGATTTGGCTGATTTTTTGTTGTATTTGTTATTATTAGGAGAACGTTCTTATGTAAGAAAAAATTACGAAAGTTGCCGGAAAACCCCTAAAAGCAGCCCTTTTCTTTTTTCCATACAAACGTTTTATTTTGTATGTAAAAATGATTGTTTGTTTGTTAGTAACACTAACGCTCGAGAACGGCGGAACCAATCTTCATGAAAACAGAAGTAGTTCGCTGTGGATCTGGAAAGGGTTAGATATAAAAAAAACCATATACATTTCATAAGGAAAAGTCGAAAAATTGGAAATTTCCAAAAAGTGACTTTTCATACAATTCTTTTTGAAGTGAAAACTTCTTTAGGCGCGTTGTGCACTGATTTTGTGGGTACTGAAACAGACTGAGCCGTCATGCTCGGCTATGTAACGCTCCTTCGTGTTAAGTCGGCTGCAGTCTACTGAGGGAGGGGGAGAGCATAGTTAAATATGGGTATTGACTGACCGTAACGCTGCTATGTCATAGATAACTTGATGGCTATGTCACGCTCCATCGGGTAATAGAAGGGGGGGAGAGAGAGAGAGAGAAGCAGAAGCATGGAGAATATGATACGAGACTCTTTGATTCGAGAGAGAGCTGTCAAAACTCGCATTTTTTATAACATTTGCCAATGATGCCACTGCTGAAGAATATTAGATTGAGTAATTAATAAATTATACAAAACACTAAATTAAACACTTTGGAAATGCATACATATATAAATGCTAAAATGCAAAATCATAAATTAATTTACATAAACATTTATTTTGCCAAAATATGTTCGCACAGTTCAATGAAATTTCATTTCACACTAATTTTGTCCCGTATTTTTCACTAACTGCTGGCACCCTGATTGTGTTTTGTTGCCAACTCAGAAAACAGATCA